GCCCGTAGCGCCGACCGAGGTAACACTGCGGGTACTTCAATGCAAGGTTCTGAATAAAGAAAGAAGCTGGGACGCACAAGGGGCAGTCGGACGGCAGAGTGGGAATAAAGGTCGTGCTGGAGGACATGAAAATAAACAAGGTGCACCGAAGCATTGTTGGAGCAGAACCTACCAGGTCTGCGACTGGCTGCCGCTGACTCCACCTGGGCATTAGCAAGTCAGTTCGCGGGCCGCACGTTTCCGGACCTGAAACTACATACCATCTCCAGATGAGAACAAGATGGAGGTACCTAGGAAGCATCAGATCAGATACGTTTAAAAAATGATGCTTGCACTCACCAAGGGCACCGAGTTGCATGTAGGCGTTGCAGAGAGTGTTCGCGACTGAGCGCGAGAGGTCACTCTCATCGAATCCGTAACTCGTGGTGAGGACATTAGGGCGGGTGCCAGTCGCCTCCTTGATCAAGGCCGTAATGATATCCCTTTGCATTCCAATGAATACAGGCGCCAATCCATGAAACAGCACGCACATGAAGCCGTCGATGCCATCAGCGTTGCTTTCGCCGACAGAGATAAAGGTAACTGGGACGCCCGTGGCGACTCCAATGGTGTACTTTGAAATGCGCGTTGAATTCAGGCTGAAACTGGTAAATCAAATATTTACCTGGGTGTCGAGGTTCTATACAACGGCCATTAGATGACCTTGAACGAATGAGAGTACGCCACACGCACAGCTTCGATACCAGCGTCAGCGCGGGTCTGCGTGTTGACCCCGCCGTCCAGAGTTTGGAGCGTGAAGACGGTCGAGGAGCTCATGTCCGTGCGGAAGTTGGTCAAAAATTCCTTTGCGAATCGATCGTCAAGAAACTTCACAGATAATCAAAACGGTGCGTACCTTCAGATCGGCCTGGTTGGCGAATTGCTCGATGAAGCCTGAGACGCCGAGCTTGTTCGTCGATTGTGTGGCGGCGGTCGCGGGAATGTTGTAGATCGCCTATGTGCGCCGTCAATGCCTAAAAATTAAGTCACGACGTAAATGACCCACCTGGAGGCACGCCGGCGTGATGACGGAGTTGCACGACGTGGGGACAGCGTCCGAGACGGGAGCAACGTCAGCCACGGGAGCGGCACGCTTCTTGACGGCTGTGAATTTCGGACGGGCGACGAGGGGGCGGGTGAAGCTCGTGGTCGGGTGGAAGAAGTCGATGTGGCCCTGCAGCGAGGCGGGGATCGAGTACTCCAAGGTACGAATGCTGGTGGCGCCGGTGTCGACGTGCGTGAAGACGGAGAAGTCCGTGGAGAGGAGCTCGTTGGCCTTCGCGACGGGGATGACAATCTGGAGCATATCTCCCGCCGGGGTGACAGCCGTCGACGAGATGCCGTTCTCCGAAAGCCACTCGCTGACGACAGAAAGCGTCTCATCGGTGGGCTTCACGAACTCGGCGACCTAAATTATGAGCCGTGTCAGATGACTACAATAACGCCATGACGAAAGATGTACCTCCTCCGCGGTCAGGTGCTGGCCGTACAGCGCGCTGGCGGGGTCAGAGACGGCGTACAGAGCGGTCTCGAGCCCAGCGATGTTGTTGGGCTTTAGCGCAATCCGGAGCGCGAGCTCCTTCGCCGCAGGTGCGATGCCAGAGTTAACGAACCCGCGCGCAGGTTCAGCGCGAGTCTCGTGGACCGCCATCGTTCGGCGTTCCATGGGTTTCGCCGCCGCGACGAGCAAGAGGGACGCGATGAAGGTGGCTGCGAAGACCATCGTTGGGTGAGTGCTGGAGGGACAGCACACGCCCTATCAGAAGTACTGGTCGATATTTATATTCGGTGGCCGAGAAAGTGATGAATCCGGCTCGGAGAAGCCTGCAGGATGGGACGCATGGCCATGCTAAGTATGACCACGATAAGGACGGAAGCGGTAGTGGAGACAAAATCTTCCCCGGAGATTGGTTGCAAGGTATAGAATTTACGCGGTGTCAAATAAGAGGTTCTCGACGCGTGATAAAATTAGATCTTTTTGGTCTTGGCGGTAGCTGGCCGACGGAGTGAAACAGAGGATTTCAAGTAATACCTCGAGAGCGGGTCCAGAAATCGAGCATGAGGACGGGGAGCTAAACGAGACTTGGCGCGAAGGTAATCAGACTGTCTGCGGGCACAGAGAGCGTTCGCCCGTTCCGATAAAGTCTGACCTATTTTAAGAACCAGTACCAAGCGGGGCTATTCCTGTATTTGCGAGATTGCACTTTTCGGGAACCCACAGTGATAAGGGCATATCAGGCTACAGGTATGAAGATCCGATAGTACAACGGATTGACAAGGTCTATTCTGTCCGTCGTGAGAGTCCCAGAGGCCAGCGGCTGAACTAGAGCAAAGCGGAAGGGCGACTCAATGATGGAAGGCCCAGATTTCATGTGTCGCGTCCATGCGCAGCGCGTAAGATGTATCCTTGCAGCCCAAAAAGACGGATATCTGACTGATTGATTCAGAGATGACACACATGGAACCTAGAGAGATGATATTTTGCGGGTCCGCGATTGCGGAGGATGGAGACGATCATCAGAACAGCAAAGAGGAAAGCTATAAATACGTTTCGACGACTCGAGGGCCGCGGAAGAGAGTAAGTACCGGGCCGGGATGCGGTGAGAGCCACGAGGGCTAGGACCAAGCCAGCCTGCCGTCTAAAGTAGACCGTTTAGTGAAAAAGGAAAGCGTAGGGGAAAGCAAAAGGAAAAAACGGGCATGGTCGCGTGACTGAAGAGCCAAATGTCTGGGCATGGCCATACGTCGCGTGATTTCAACAATTTCCTGAATAAGAGCCAGCGAGGGTCGAGCAAATGGTTTAATTGGTCCACCCGTTCGCGGATGGTCCACTGAAAAATCGGAAACGTTCCATTTCCAACCCTAAGATACGCCGTTAATACGGCATAGGTACTACAACTACATACAACGATTGACCGCGATCCGGAGAATTAATTTGGCCTGGTGACGCTTTCGCTTGGTTTTGTGAGAAGACTCCGTGCCGGGTCTGGAAACACCGAGTCTCCGTCACAAATCTATTCAATCAGAAGCGAATTTTTCCCCACCATCAATTCATTCGATTTTACCGCACCGGAGTGGATAAATCCGCAGTCCAAGACCTTATCGATGATTGAGTACCACATCCCGATTTTTTAAAGGATTCAAACATGTATTGCTTCCGAGGTCGAAGGCCGTTGTCAACGGCCAGGAGGGTATTCAATTGTAGATGCAACTTTATCAGTGCGTCTCCGAATAGTAGTATACGGGCGGTGCAGAGTTATTTGGGATGTATCGTCGATCTGCCGAGGCTGCCGCACCCCACAATCCAAATGTATGAGCCCGCTCTCCAAATAAAGCCCCGGCAAGGTCATCCCGAATGCAACGTAACCCTGCCGAAGCTGCCGCACACATTTAGCCTCAACCAGCTTTATGCAAGATCTGTCGGGGAACTCAAAACCGGGGGTGGGTGCAGTAAAGGTGGATTCTATCTACGATCTCTCTTAGACCTGCGGAGTGATCTTTCCGAAGTCTAGCCGCGAATCCGGCCGGGCGCGAGGTTAGACTCCGCGTCTGCCGTCACGGAAAGAAACAACTCCACCAACGCTCCACAAGTTTAGCCAAAAATGTGCACGCGAGCTAGTGTGCTGACGTGGATCCCATTCGTTTGGCATAGTATTACAAGCCTGGGACTGCGGATGAGAGCGTAGATCAGCTTCCTCTCAGCTGACCGCAATCGGATAACTGGATTTAAAAAAGAGCGAAAAATACGGTGAACACTCCAGTTGAAATGACAGAAATTCCAAACGTAAAATCAGGATAAGTCAGATTGCCCATCATTCATCCGCCGGAACTCCTAGAGATAGGGCAGTGGATCCGGACGGTGAGATGTCGCTGAAGATCCGGTGGGCGGTGGAGGTTTCAGGCAGCAGTAGAAGGTAGAGCGGGTGGAGCGCAAAAGATTCCTCCTGCATGTCGGGCCAAGTCTGGAGGGTGTGGAGTCGATCCATTCGACTCAGCCGAAGAGAATCCGAAAGACTTGGTTGCGGCCAATTTTGGCGTTGAGTGGCATTTTCAGGTTGCCTATGCATTACCAAAAAAATCTCGTCTCTGTACAAAATCGGACACAGTCGGGTGGAGCATGGAGCAGAGCTAGAGGCTTTCAAGTTCATTGGGCGGTTCGCCGGCCCGGAGACAGACTTGCTCCGAACCTAATTTATGGAGGGGCTCGACTCGGCATCTATTCTGAATTTGTACATGCGTCTCCACGACAACCAGGCAGCTGCCTTTGGTGCCAACCGTCCGCTGGTTAAGGAGTGGTGAGCTGGGCATGGAGCTCGGGGCAGAGCTCGGCGGGCTTGGTCGACCACACGCACACAGATGTCGACGGATTGTCGGCACAGGTCGGCACAGCCGTGCTGATCTGATGTCGGCAGGGTCTGTGGAGCCGTCGGCAGACGTCAACAGACGTCAGCTCATGTCGGCAGGCTGTGTCAAGAAGCTGAATCCATGAGATCGGAGCGCTCCGACAAACCGCTGGCAAATCAATAACTATTCTGACTTGGAACATTGCACGCTCAGAGCCCCAGTCAAGCCCCAGTTCGGTTAATCATAACTTGAATCGGCCTGATTCAAGCTGCTCCTCTCCGCCCGTCTTCCAGGTCGTTTCCTAAGATATCTAGTTGCAATCACTGATGTAGCTAGGTTACCACAGGGATCAGGCCGTTGATGGCTGTAGCGTACATTCAGGACGCGATGTACGTAGGTACAGCACCTGCTTGTTCCTTATCGGGACCCCCGCAGTAATACACCGTGACTCCTCCTCCCTGAACGCAGTGTATTAATGGCAACATAGACAGGAGTCGCCTATTCGAATCAGGATTGAGTCATTTGGTAACCGAGCCCAATTTTTTCTATGCCTCCGCTCGTTCTTGCGATAAAATGCGGGGATTCCGAGTCAACAAGCTTATTCCCAGTCTATGAAGGACTCGATGGCGGATCGTCCGCACCTGCGCTCCGTAAGGGAATTCCACACCTTCCGCAGGAAGCGCCTGTTCGAATCAGGCTCGAGTCATGTCGTGGTACTGGACAGTTTTTTTTTTGGCCCGCCGGTGCTATCGCGGTAGCGATGAAATACGCCCATTAATAATTAATCTAGCTCACATTCAAAACGACTGACGGTTTACGCCGGAAGTACCTGGTCGAATCAGGCTCGAGTCATGATGGATATGGAGGTTAGGCCTTGTTTTGTGAGACTTGTCCACTGTATTGAAGACCTCGCGCACTCATTTAACGACCTTGTACTCAAGCCAAGAGCCGACTCGATGGCGGATGGCCCACACCTGCGATTTGTACGCAATATTGACCTCTCCCGCAAGAGTTGCCTGTTCGAATCAGGCTCGAGTCATTCGGTCACTGCAACCAATTTTTTGTATCCCTCCGCCGGTGCCTGCGATAAAGTGCAAGAATTCGTGAAGCTTAGTCCAAGCCTACGAAGGACTCGCTGGCGGGTGGGCCGCGCCTGCGCTTTATAAAAACTGTTCTAGTAAGTACTGTATGAAGGAGGCGCCTGTTTCCAGCTATCGTCCAGAACCGCGACCATTTTTTTTTTACATCTCTCCCCTCGTTCTTGCCAGGCTAGGAAGCACTCAATGGCGGATCGTCCGCGCCTGGGCCTCGTCTGGCGGAGCTAACTGTTTACGTACGGGGCGCCTGTTCGAATCAGGTTCGAGTCTTAATTTAGCCCAAGGCATCTTTTTTGTCATGTGTCATGGGCTCCTGTGAGCGTCCGCTGTTTCGGCGACATCCAGCAAGCTTGCATTGAAACTAATCTCCATGTTACGCTTCGTGATGCCCACGAGATAGTTTAATCGCTGACTCCACCCGCGGCGTTGGAGCGATGATAGAAGACGCGCAGTAATCTAGCGCACATTCAGGCCGAGAAGGATTTCGGTTTTTTGTCCTGCCGGTGCTCCTAGTATTGTGATACAGGAATGAAACATGGTCATTTAACATGCACATCAGGCCAACAACGACTCGGTGGCGGATGGTCCCCACCTGTGCTCTGTAGAGTACTCGAGAGAACTTCCACAGGAGGCGTCTGTTCGAAGCCGGCTGGAGTCAACGGTGAATGCGACCCATTTTTTATATCCCTCCGCTCGTGCCTGAAATATAAGACGTTGCTAGGACTGTATATACGCAGGAGACTTCTGTTCGAATCAGGCTCGAGTCATGTTCATTATGTCGCAGAATTCCTTTTTGTCCTACCGGTGCCATCGTGGTAGTGATGAAATCCGTGCCTTTAACAAGCCCACATTCAGACTAAGGACTCGATGGCGGATGTCCCGCACCTGCGCTTAATTTGAGAGTATCAAGGTTTCCGCAGGAGGCGCCTGTTCGAATCAAGCTCGAGTCATTTGGCAAATTCGACCCATTTTTTATATCCCTCTGCTGGTTCCTGCGATAGATTACGGAGATTCAACAAGCTCATCCAGCCTAAGCACAGCTCGATGGCGGATGGTCCGCATCTGCGCTTCGTATGGCAAACTTGATTATCTACGCAGGACGTGCCTGTTCGAATCAGGCTCGAGTCATGTTCGTGATCTGACGGAGTTCCTTTCTTCCTGCCGATGCCATCGCGGCAGAGCGTTGGAATATGCCCATTCACCAAACTCACATTCAGACCAAGAAGTCCTCGATGGCGGATGGTCCGCACCTGCGATTCGTATGCGATATGGAGGTTTCCCACATGAGGTGCCTGTTCGAAACAGGCTCGAGTCATTCCCCGACGGAAGTCAGATTTTTTGTGGCCCTCCTTTTGGCTCTGCCATAGACTGCGGAGATTCAACAAGGTCATCCAGCCTAAGCCCGACTCGATGGCGGATGGTCCGCACGTGGGCTGTATGCTGAATCAGAAAGACACGGAGTATGTACGCAGATAGTACCTGTTCGAATTAGGCTCGAGTCATGTTCGGGGGTTTTTTCTTTTCGTCCTGCCGGTGACATTGCGATAGAGTGAGAAAACGTCCACTCAACACGCTCATATTCAGGTCAAGAACGACTCGATGGCGGATGGACCGCACCTGCGATCCGTAGGGGATTGCCAAGAGTGTCCGCAGGAGGCGCCTGTTCGAATCAGGCTCGAGTCATGTTCGTGGGGTCGCATAGTTTCTTTTTGTCTTGCCAGTGCCCTTGTGGTAGAGTGATAAAATGTCCACTCAACACACTCACATTCAGGTCAAGAACGACTCGATGGCGGATGGTCCGCACCTGCGAATAGTATGGGCAGAATTGTACTTTTCCGCAGGAGGTGCCTGTTCGAATCAGGCTCGAGTCGTCGAGTTATTTGGTCCAGGTGTTTTTACTTCGTGAATCCGTAGCGGGCGCGAGTAGAAATATTGTTTTTGGAGGGTGCGGTGATTACCGGGGAAGCTGACTTTTCACCTTGGCCTGGGAGGTGCATACAGGTTTACGATCCGGACACTGTGCGAGTTCGACGGTTGGGCGCGAAGAGGTCAGGGGGGGATGTAATGTGGATTCCCAGAGCCCCGCTCATCTGGAGAGAGTCGGAGCGCGCATTCGCTGACCGGAGGTCCATTCCAAATTCCGGCCGAGCTTGATATATTTTTGAGACGCCGCCCGAAAGCAGATTGAGTAACTTGACGCTGATATTGTTTCTTAGGACGCCGGAGCTCTGGATTGTGAGTCTCCGACACGGCGAGGCGTACGAAATAGCCAACTGAATCACGGTTGAATTCAACTGGGTTAAGTTTAATCCGAACTGCATCCACTCAGCTTTGTTTGAATGCCGGAGTTCGGGACACCGCGCAATTGGCAAAGGCCAGCCCCGATCTTCAAAACGGGCACTTTGTTGCCGTCGGACATGGTTGTGGGTCAAGTGGGTCGCATTGCCGGTGTGCGGCATGTTGCCGCTGTACGGCATCGTCACGCGTGCGTGAGTCACACTCCTGCAAAATTTTCTTCCCATACCAAATTGGTTCAAGCGGACGAGCGCTTTGGCCGGCGTACGTCTCCGTCCCCGCATCACACCGTCGGGCTGTCTACTCGGGGCTTAGCTCGGTGAATTCCCCGCTCCACGTGAAAGGTGCTGCTGTCAGCTTTCAGGATCTGACTCATTGGCCACGTAGCCGACGCCCTTCGCTCCTCCTCTTCCAACACCCACCAAGAAAAACGCCAAAAGAAATGTCTGCTGAAGAGTCTTGGTCGCCTTCGTCGTGGAAATCAAAGTCCATCGCTCAAGTATTACATCCTCTTACAAATTGACTCTGCGGAGCTGACGCGCGCGAATCAGGACGTGGAGTACCCAGACGCCGCACATCTCTCAAAGTACATGCCTTTTCTCTCTGTGTGAAGCTCTTCCTCACTATTACGTGCAACGCAGGGTACTCTCCAAGCTCGAGACGCTGCCCCCGCTCGTTACGCCGTCGGAAGTGCGTCATTTCCGTGGTGGGCGCGTGCCATGATATTGATCGCGCATTTTCGCAGATCGAGCGGCTTCGCTACCAGCTTGGCCTGGTCCAGCGGAACGAGGCCTTCCTGCTACATGCTGGCGATTGTGCGTTTATTCTCCAATTAATTTCGCTTGCTGACACACGAGGCGGGCAGGCGCGGAGAGCTTCGATGCGTGCACGCACGTGCGTTTATACCCACCTCCTTGCGCTGCGCGCGCTGACCCGTCTTCTTTTCATCTGTGTGCTTCTAGGAAAACATATCGGCGAAGATAGGGCTCATCCTCTCCTTCTCGCTGATCCTGATTTGGGGCGCGCGGATGCCCGTGGTGCGTACGATTCCACGCATGCGCGATTTTTTTATCCGTATTCGTCTAATATGCTACTTAGGTGCGCATCGGGCGCATCGCAGGTCAGTACGCTAAGCCCCGGAGCAGCAAGACCGAGAAAATCGGGGACAGAGAAGTGTTGAGCTTCCGGTTCGTCCCGCCTTACATCTGCCCTCCATTTTTTAAAAGCTTACATCCCTCTCTTTGTACAGAGGCGATAATGTTAACGGGTGCGTACTCCGCCCCCTCTTCCAATCGCTGCTTTTTTAAAACAAAACCATCTCCCGCGCAGACTGGACCCGAATGACCGCACGCCCGACCCCGAGCGCCTCTTGAGGTGCGTGTATTTCCTTGTTTCCCTCTGTCCGGTCTGCGGGCGTTGTGTCTGCGGCGTTGCGTTGACCGTCGAGCGGCGCTGCGCTGCCCGCAACCCGTTCCCCCGCAGGCCGTCCTGTCTCGTATCTCAATGCCGATATAAGTGCGCAACGCCGATGAAACTGACTCACTGAAACCCACAGCGCCTACTTCCACTCGACGGCGACGCTGAACCACGTGCGGGGGCTGCTCACGTCCGGCTTCGCGTCGCTGCACCACCCGCGCGACTGGTCGCTCGCGCACGTCAGGTCGGATAAACTGCGGTGCGTGTCTACTTTCTCTTCTCCCCTTTCCCTTTCAACTCACGACACCTCTCCCTTTCAATTCACGACATCCCTCCCTTTCAACCCACTGCACGCACGCCCGCAGCCAAGAATTCGCCTCGATCACCGCCTCGCTCTCCGACGCGCTCGACTTCAGCCGCACGATCGGCGTGGAGTCCACCGCCGCGCCCGCGTTCGAGCAGGGCGGCGCGCGGGGCACGGTGGGGGAGGTTGATTTTTATACCAGGTGCGTCGTGCGTTTTGTCCTTACTCGCTGCTCTGCCCGCTCACGACAACAGCCACGAGGGCTTGATGCTCGAGTACGAGCAGGCGCTCACGCGGGCGTTCGCTGTGCCCGCGGCGGTGCCCCTCGCCTCCGCTGACAACGCGACTACGAAGCCTAATGCGAGCGCCAAAGCATTCTACAACACCTCCGCGCACTTCCTCTGGATCGGCGACCGCACGCGCCAGCTCACGGGCGCGCACGTCGAGTACTTCCGCGGGATCCGGAACCCCATCGGTGTGAAGGTCGGCCCGAGCATGGCCGCGGAGGAGTTGGTGCGGTTGTTGGGTAGTGCGTCTTTTTTTTTCCCTCTCGTTTTCTCGGCCGCTTCGTGCGGAAGGCGTGCTGATGCTGCTCGCTAGTCGTGGACCCGCTCAAGGAGGCGGGAAGGGTGACGCTGATTACGCGCTATGGCGCCGGCAAGGTGCGCTTTACGGAAGACGAAGGAGAACGCTCGCTGACGACGTGGCGCGCAGATCGACGAGCACCTGGCGGGGCACATTGCGGCGGTGCAGCAGTCTGGGCACCCTGTCGTATGGATCTGCGACCCCATGCACGGGAAGTGCGTAGTTCCTTCCTCTTCTTGTCATTAAGTCAATACAATGCGCACAGCACGGAAACCTCCGCCTCGGGCCTCAAAACACGGCACTTTGGGACGATCATCAGCGAGCTCACTGCGAGCCTGCGCATCCACGCCGCGTGCGGCTCGCGCTTGGGCGGTGTGAGCCTCGAGTTCACGGGCGAGATCAACGAGGAGGGGTTCAGTGTCACCGAGTGCGTCGGCGGGAGCATGGAGCTGAGCGAGGAGCAGCTGGGGCTGCGGTACCAGGTGCGTTGCGCCTTCGATTTTGTTTTATCTTTGAACGAGGATCGGGGTTCATTGAATGAAACCCAGTCCTTCTGCGATCCGCGGCTCAACTTCGAGCAAAGTCTCGGTACGTCCTTCATTATTAATGCCTTCTATTCTCGGACTAACACACATACGGCTGGTTCGCAGACGTCGCCTTCCTCATCTCGAACTACTTCAAGAAGGAGCGCCGCGGCGGAGGGGCGGACCACGCGGAGTCGGACGTGTTGTACACCGAGCTGCAGGGCCAGCGCGTTGCGTGAGCTCCGCTCCGTCAACATTCAAAAAGAAAAAAAGAGAAGAAATGGGGGGATCTTCGGATTGGTAAAGGCGGGAATTCAAATATATGTGTACTAAGTACTTGGTTGTTCGGCTCTGCTCTGCTTATTAGCTGAGTTTCATGTCGACTGGTTGTGTGCCCTACATTGTTAACTGGTGGCGGCGGCGTTTGCTGCCAAAAGTGAGTTGCCAGCCAATCAGTTGGCTATTTTTACGTCTCGCCGGCTCGCCGACTCCACTCTCTCGTCAATATCCCTGGGGGGGCATTACCCTGGGTTCGGGCGGTGTTCCTGAAATATTTCAAGCTACGGCCGAAAATTAGAAATTAGAACCGGAACAATTTAAACGCAAAGGGAAACTCGTCGTCGGTCTCCAAACTCAGCGCCGACCAGCGTCTCCATGGGCGCCTATCGGTTTAGGGGTAAGCGTCCCTTGCGCCCGATTTGGGTCATCCACGCACAATCATGATAATAAATAAATAAATAAAACCCATGACTCGAGCCTGATTCGAGGCGAACCCCTGCTTTTGTTATCTGTGATGTTTTCGATGACTAGCAGCAGGTACGGACCAGCCACCGAGTCCCAGTTTGGGGTTTGCTAGTTGCCTGCCCATAATACCAATGTCTTCAACTTGTGCTCACATTCCCACTGCCGAGCATGGAAGATCCCATTCGGCTACGGACCGAGTCATATAGGATCGATTCCCCGGAATCATCCAGTGTCCATTCAGTACGTAAGGAGACAAGGCGTAAGAATCGTACATGTCATAACATATGGGTATGACACAATTCACTGCTAAGCCCAAAGGGCCCCTAAACTCGAACTAGATCGCGGAAATGGGCTCCTAGAAAACAACGCCAAGACATTTTTAATTTAGATCCAAGACACTCCCTGAGACTTACCTTAGGCGGCGCGAGCGTGCCATCGTCATGCACTGTCTCTGTGAGTCGGTGCATGTGAATCTTAACCATTCTGGCTCATTCAAAAATCCAGCGCTGATAAGTGAAACATTCTCGTACCGCGTTCCTCGCTGCAGCCGCCGAATCAAACGCTATAAAATGTGAACCACTGCTCACGTTTCCCTTCGGCGCGGGAGAGCGGAGGCGTTGTCGGCCGTTCAGTCTAGGGGATCCAGCTATTCAGTCAATTTGACCAGAACGTTAAGGTTGATTTAATTACGATGCAACCATGGAGTTGGCAAATACTGTTACAATGTTGGAAGGGCAGATGTCAGAAAGCGCAGATGGACTCACGTTTCGCTTGCATGAGATAGAAGATAATCCAGGTGAAATCAGTCCGGGTGAGGAACTTGGTGATGGTTGCATTGTAAATGTTTTTGGGAAGGATTTATGTTGGACGGAGCTCACCAGGATGAGCTGCATGGCACCAGACAAACTGAAGGAAACTACTGAGAAGGATGCCAAAAGGGCTAATGACGTCCTTACGTGGTTATCAACGTCGTCTCTAGCATAGTCCCAGGGTCAGAAGTTGA